TCATTTCAGGACTGAGGAAAGAAAGGCAGGTCACTCAGAGAGCACACGCTCTCCCTGCCATGGGCAAGCAGCTGCCACAGCTGTTGGGGAAGGGGGGAGGAGGACCCTCTCCCCCACCACGGGAAGTCCACATATTCATATGAAAGGAAGAAGAGAGCAGGAACAGTTGTCTCTCCCTCTAAAGTCTATTGAGTGGGCAGCCCTTGCTTCGATGTCCTGTCCTCTGTGACACAGTCCCTTGTCACGGGGGAGGGGGGACCCAAGAGAAGCCTCTGGTTATGTATGTCTTTTATTGAGGGATGGGCAAATGTGTCACCAGAAGGGACTCAGCTCCAGGGACAACACATATGGCATCAGAAGAGGGCAGACTCCAGGAATGCTTCCCAGAGGGGAGGATCACTGTGACCAAAATAGTCACAAGCAAAACAGCCTTTAGCTATAAAGAACTGATTATGTAGGAGGATTAAAAGGAGATAAAGAAAAGATAAGACTAAGGGCTGTGCGGGGGTGATCTAAGGCTATGTAGGGTGAAGAGGGGAAGGACAGAAGAATGGAAATAGACTTTTTAGACCATTCCAACTATAGACCACTAGTATCTATTTAATTCCCTTTCTTTTCTTTCTCTACCATTTTCCTTGTAAAGAAAGAGTGGGGGGGGGGGAGTGTACAAGGAGAGGATAAACTATAATAGGATGTGATGGGGGTGGGGGGGCAGATAAACACAGCCACCGTAATTGTTAATATGAGTGGGAAGAACTCATCCACAAAATGGAGAAGGGTAGCAAACTGGATCAGAAAGCAAAGCCCAATATATTGTTTACAAAAAACATACTTTAAAAAAAAGAGTTCCATGAGTTAAGATGAGGGGTTGTCATTGAATCTATGATGCCCCAGCTGAAGCAGAAAGAAACAAGGGTATCAGTTATTATCTCAGGAAAAGCATAGCAAACAAACAAACAAACAAAAAATAACATTGTCGTTAAAGGCATTATAGATATCAAAGAAACAATATTAATACTAATTTACATTCAATTATTGGCAAATCATCTAGGTACTTAAAGGAAAAGTTAATCAAACCAGAAGGAGAAATAGATAGTAAGATAATCATTAGACCTAGGCAAATCTAACAGAAAGAAAAACAAGAAAGAAGTTAAGGGCACTGAATAGAGTTTTAGAAAATTCAGATATTGCAGGTCTCTGGAAATGACTAAATGAGAATTGTAATAAGTATATATACTTTTCTTTTCATGGAACCTTTAAAAATTTTGACCATGTGTTGGAGCATAAGTAACTCATAATCAAATGCAGAAAAGTAGGCATGTTAAAAAAAAAATATATCTTTTTTAGACTACAACACAACAAAATTATAAGCAATAAGGGGAATTTGAAGCAAGAATTTTGACCTAGAGACTAAGTAATGAAGAACTAAAGAATAAGTAGATCAGAGAGCAAATCAAAGACACAAAAACAAAACCAAAAAATAGCGATGAGACAATATACCAAAACCTTGGGCATATGGCCAGAGACATGACTAGAAAATGTTCTCTCTAAACATTTTTATTAGAAAAGAGAGAAAGAAGATATCAATGAATTGAGAATACAAGTAACAAACCCTTTAAAAATCAACAAATTTAAAACTCCCAAATAAACAGAAAAATAGAAATTCTCAAAATTAAAGAGGAACAAAATTATAAACAAAATCTATTAAGTTAAAAAATTAAAAGCTATTTTAAAAACCATTTTATTGATAAATGTTTTACATTGCCTAGATTTTCCCCTCTATCTCTCATGTTTCTATCTCCCAGGTTGCCATTCTTTATACACAAAGATTAAAAGAAAGAGAAAAAAAAGTTATTGAAATCAATGAAGTTTGAAAAAAAATCTGACATTATATGCAATGATTCACACCTGTGGACTGGACCCCTGCAAAAGAGTGAAAGGGGGAGATGGGAGAACTTTTAAAGATTTATAGACTATACCAACCATTTGCTAACTTGATAAGAGGGAGGGAGAAAGGAGGAGGAGGGAGGAGAGGAAAAACGAGACAAACACACAGACAGAGAGGGACAGAGATAGAGGTGGGGAGAGAGACAGTGAAAGAAGCTGAATTACCAAAATAAAAAATGAAAAGGGAGAATTTACTACAGATCATGAGGAACCAACTGAAATTATTAGAAGCTATTATACCTATGTACATACCAACAAAACTGAAAACTAAATAGTTGAATATCTACAAAAATATAAGAGGTGTCTCCTTTCCAGCTTTGTCAACCAATATTCCCTCTTGGAATAGGAAGGGAATAAGCATTTCTAGAAATATTTATTCCCTTCCTATTCTAGGAGGGAATATTAGAATATTTTTGTAGATATTCAGCTATCTAGTTTTCAGTTTTGTTGCTGTATTATTATTATCCCCAATTTTACAGTTGAGGAAACTGAGGCAATGATTTGCCTAGGGGTCAAATAGCTAGTTAAGAGTCTGAGGGCACATTTGAACTCAGGTCTTCCTGACTTCAGGCTCAATGCTCCAACCACCCTACCATCTAGCTTCCTTCCTAACCCAGAGCAGTATATTGACAGTACATGGTGTTGCTAGGAGTTCCAACACTTTTTTAATCCCAGCCTCCTAAATAGAGGGGGAGGGGATCCTGATGCTAGGCAGCAGCATTATGGAATCTAGCTGGCCTGGAAGAATTTGCTTCCAGGATCAGACTTGACCTAAATGAGACCAGAATTGAGCAGTGGGTTACACTAACAAAACCCAGCAAAAAGAGATTTTAAAAAAATATATTCAAAATAACTACAAAACATATCAAGTATCTGAGTCAGCCTACCAAGACAAACTCAGAAATATAACTAACAAAATGCCCCTTTGCAGATATAAAGACAAATAATTGAAGAGAGAGTAATAATTTGAGAGATAATATACACGGCAATTCTACTTAAATTAATTTACAAGTTTAGTGGCATACCAAGAAAATTACCAAGGGGTTACATTATAGACTTAGACAAAATAAAATTCATCTGGGGAACAGAGAGGCAAGCTCTCAGGGGAAATAATCAATCGATATATCAATGAGCGTGTACCTGTTATGCACCAAGCATGGGGACAGCAGGGGACATAGACCAAATAAAGGGATCCCTCTCTCTCCTCCAGAGCCTGCATTCTACCAGAGGACACGGCATGCACGTGTATAAAACAAGTAAGTACAGAATAAAAACAGGTAGTCATGGAGGGAGGTCACAAGCAGCTGCTGAGAGGGGGAAAGGTTTCATGTAGAAGACGGTGCTTGAGCTGAATTAGTCATGGGGTCTATGATGCAGAGGTAGAGGGGAGGACATTTCAGGCGGGAGGGGTGGCTGGTGCAAAGGTACAGAGAAAGGAGACGGCACTTCGTATGTGAAGAAGGGAGAGGACAATTTGGAAAGACCATAGAGCGCAGGAAGGGAAATAATGTGTAATGGAGCTGGAAAGGTAGCGCGGGACCAGTCTGGGAAGGGCCAGAAAGGAAGTTTCTAATGTATCCTTGAGGCAATAGGGAGCCAGAGCAGTTCTTTGAGAAGGGGATTGTGATATGATAGCTCTGCAGCTAAGGAAAATTCCTTTGGCAATTATGAAGAAAATAGATTGAAGAGGGGAGTGATTTTAAGCCGGGAAACCAAAGAGGAAGGGTACTTCAATAACAACAAATAATAAAGATGAGAGGTGACGAGTAGCTGAGAGAGAGGAGAGAAGCAATTGCACGGAGAGATGGGTGGAGGTCCGAGCAAGAAAATGTGGCAACTGACGGGATGGCGAGGCGGTGTGAATGAGGATAAAGCTAAGAGTCTGGAAGGGGGTGGGGGGTGGGGGGCTTGGCGGGAATAGGGAAAGTCCGAAGAGTGAGTGGTAAGGGTGATGAGCTTGGTTTTTTACGTGTTAAGTTGGCTATGTCCATGGGACACTTCAAAATGGATGTCGCATAGAAATAATGATAAGGGAATAGAGCTCAGGAGAGACGGGAGTGGGGGAGGGAAAGAGAGAAGAGGAGGGGGGG